GTATAGGTCGGACTACTGGCCACTCAAGTGCTGGGAACTTCCTGATAAGGGCATCTTAACTATATTGTAGTAAAATAACTGATGTTAAAAACTGGACCCCAGGGTATTTGAGAAGCAGGGAAACAAAGTCTAATTAAAAGGTGTGGGACTCAAGTTTGAATTTCCCGGGTTGGGCATAGCACCTGGCAAGCAGCAGGTACTCAATACCTACGGATGACGTGTCTGAACTGATGGAAGGTCAGGCCCTCCCCAGTGGTAATGGACCTGGGACAAGAAACCTGTGGCTGAGTCCTGATCCACACTAACATGGGGGCAGAAACAAAGTTATAAGCCTCATTTTCTTCCCGTGTAAAATAGAGGTGACACTTTACAGAGTTATGAGGATTTGTTCTGTGCCTCGCAAGCACACAGGAAACACATAATATTGTGGTCATATCCTCCATTTCAAAGCCTTCTCCGAGGAGCAGGGAGGCTGCAGAGGTAAGGAGTCTGTTGGTGGGAAATCCATTAGCCTTCCAGCCTTCTGCTGGACTCCGTCCGTATCTTGTCCCTGTGAGCGAGCAGAGACCTCTTTCTCCTGGAAGTCACCCCCCACCCCCACCCCCGCCACCCTTCCATGGTGAAGCCGGGAAGGTAAGTGGGTTTTGTGAGCCCCAATTTCAGCCTGCTTACCACAGAGACCCAGCGGAGTCTTGGCCTGTGCAGCTGGGAGAAATGGACCTGGGCCTGAGAACCGCTGCTGGGAGGGCCCAGGGCCAGGGCCCCAAGCACAGGTCAGGATGTTGCTGCTGTCCCTGGTTTTCCGCAGGGCTCTGGAGAAGTGGTGGTCCAGGTGAGAGTCGGCTTTTCAGTGCAGGGTATGTATGTGTTGACCAGGAAAACCTCTATTCTTTCAGAATCACCAGACCTGGATTCATGTCCATTGAAGACGTTTGCACATTGAAACTTGAACAAGGCCCTTCATACAGTCTGGGAAACAAGAGGTCTTCTTAGCAACCAGGGGGATTTTCCTCTTCCCAAATGACCAGTTCTGGTTCAGGAAGGCGAACTTTCTAATGTTAGATTTCTCTTAGGTACTTCCTTCTAACAGCAGTTGTCTTCCATAGTTTAGTTAAAGTCAATGCAGGCCGGAAAGTATTAGTGAAAGTGGGAGCCTCTTAGTGAGTAAACGTATTTTTATGAAGGCTACCCCTAGGGAGCAATCAAAACCTGACCCTCAGCCACAGAAATATATGGACTCTGAGGACGTTGAGAACTTGCCTTTTGCAAGGTTACACTGATGGCTGAAGAACAGGGAAGGAGTGGACAACCAGTTGAGCTGACAAGCGCTCCTTTGAGGCTCTATTTTCAATTGAAAAGTAGCCTAATCCTCACTGACTCCTCCCTGCTTAAGAGGTTCCAAAGAAGACAAAGGACCGCTGCCTCCTCCGGGTTACCCCAAACCGAACTCTAGGCAGGCGGGGCGGGGGAAATGGCTGCTTTTGGGCAGCTTCAGTGAGAAAATAATAATAAATAATAATAATAATAATAATAATAATGGCATAACATTTTGACTTAAGAATTGGGAGTCATCAAAGACAAAAATAACTTTCAAGAAACTATAAACACTCCCCATCCTGATTCATTTCCAAAGACAGCAGAATGCCTCTATCTTGAGCAACCTACACGGATTCATGCCTCATCTAATGACCTCACCTCTTTTTTTAAGTGACTCCCTTTGCAGAGGCCCCCGCCAGGAAAGAAAGAAAAACCAAAGGCAAATCACCTTGGCCCTGCCTGCCTCTCACAAAATGCCCTGGGGATGCGGCTATTGAGGGTCTTCAAGTGATTTCTCCTTAATATACGTTTGTCCTAAAAGAGCAGAGCCCACTGTGGAGCCATGGGGCAGATAGTTCTCTATGCTTTAGTCTCCCCAAGTTCCCGAGATAGTGTTACAGTTCTAAACCAGTTAGTGACCCCCAGAGACGGAAATCGCTAATTACCAAGTCCGTTGTGTGTTGTTTTTGTTTTTGTTTTTAATCTCCCAAGCTCCTTTGGCTCTTGACATTAAAGGGCTCCGATCTGGGCGCGCTCTCAGAGCTGGAGCCCACTGCCCTGTCCAGAGTCCAAGAGTCCGACGTGGGGTCTGCAGTGCCGGGTCCGCGAGGCCTTGATCAGACTTGTGAAAATGTACTTAGATTTTAACTCCTGCAGCGGAGCTGGTGTGCTGCAGCTAGAAGCTAACAAGCGCCCCGGTGCAGGAGGATTTGATTTGTTTCAGCAGCTCCACAGTTCGGCGCTTGATTAAAAAAAAAAAAATTTAGGGGGAATCCTGGGGTAAAAAGGTTAAATTTCCACGTCCACTGCCTCTCTCCTCTTCTTCCACCTTTTCCTTTCGTTTCGTTTGTGGGAAATGGAATTTTCTTCTCTTTGCTGGGATTATGTGATTCAGGATCGTTTGCGAAATGAACAAAAGTCACCGGCAAGCGGATGACTGGGACCCAGCGCTGATGGCAGACCCGGGGTGGGAGCCAAGGCGGGGCCTCCACCCCGCAATTGCAGGTAAGATGTGTGGCCCTCCGTCCACCCACCGCAGCAAGCCCCCTCCCCAGGAGGGCGGAGGATCTGCTCGCTGGTGAAACCAATGAGCCCCTTACTGCCCGGCTTAGTGGAGCCTAGCAAGGTTCTCCATCGCCGCCTTGGTCTCAGAATTTGGACATTTGCATAACGCAGAGATTCTCAACCTGTGCGCAGCAAGAGGTCCGTCGATGTGAAGCAAGAATTTTTAAAACATGCAATATCATTTAATAAAACATACCTTTCTAAGAGAATATCCACAATCTTATTTCAATTAGCACATAGTCACACCATTAAAATAACATGTGGGAATCAGTATAAAATTCTGTTTTCAAACCACTGAATCCACCCCACAGCCACACTATAAATTTCCCAGAATTGTAAGGCATTGACATTTTTCTAAACCCAGCTCGAACAGAAATGAAGATGATTTCCAACCAGCAGGGGTACAATCTATTAGCATTTTCTTTGATTCTCCCACAGCCACTCCATCAGAAACAGTATAGGCACTTGTGCTATTCTGTTGTGGAAAGAGGTTCAGGGGAAATTATTCAAATCAAATGTGAAGGTGTGGGGACCCATGGCTGGAAATGGGGATACATGTGAATGTAAGGTCAAAGCAGACAAGAGGCTTTGCTGCCCACCAGCGTAGCCAGAGCGAGGATGAAGTAATGAAACATCATTCCTGGTGGTGCCTGTTTCTTGGAAAGCATGGTGGCGCTTACAACAGGGTGTTCTGTACATCAGCTCTTTCCAAGAAAAACAAAATGGTGGGTGAAACTCATGAACCTGAAATCCAAAGCCATTGACTTTGGCTCTAACCTTTAACTCTCAATGGGCTTGGAATCAGTTCTTCCGTATTAGGGTATATAACCTGTCACTCAAACACTGTGGTTAATGAAATCTTGCACAGATGTTCTTGGCTTTATGTTGATACCTGGTCCACTGGAACTTGGCTATAATATAGAATATGATGATTTTGCTTACAGTACATTCATCATGCCTCCTATATGATAACCACACTCAGCACATGTCTGTTCTGCCATGATTCATGAGCTGGCAGAGTGTGTGTCCATCTCTCTGTACCAGTGATGAAAAACAATGTGTGTACTTAATTCCATACATACACATTATATACATATGTACACTTTTAAACACGGGGTACATTGCGGATTTTTAATCAAAACTTCTGACGTGGGTGTTTTTGCATTGATTATACCGCACTTTAAAAAACAAACCAAAAATATGCAATACCTGACTATTTAGTCAGGGGCACTGACTTATTTTCTCATAGGTTGTCAAATTTAAAAATGACAACAGCTAACAACAATAGCTGTCCAGCATGAATGAATAGAAAGTATACCTTTTTTTGTCAGATGGGAAAAATATATTTTTGTGGTGTGTTGCAGAATTTTAGTAACTAGCTTATATGTGCCAGGGGATGAAAAAGGGTGAAAGTCGCTGGCATGACCTCTGCGCAGGGTGGGGACCCCTGCCTGCCGGCCTGTCGTGCAGGGCGGGTCAGCAGCTCCCTCACCGCTGCTCGGGGACCATCCTCCCCAAGCACCTGGGTCACCGTGCACACGCTCAGTCAGTAAGGCTCAGCCTCGGCCTCCCTTGGCCACCTCTGGACGACTGCACTTGCAAAGAAAGCGGCAAAGTTGGAGTGCGCGAACCGAAGCTAGGTCTTTGCAACTTTGCAGCCGGAGAAATAAACTTGGCGTGACCCCGGCTCTTCAGGAAAACGTTAAGGGCTTCGCCGTTTTGCACACTGACCGTTGGAGCCGCGCGCTCAACTGTCACTGGTGTCTCGGAGCGAGGAGGCGCCTGAAGTTCTGATCCGGGCGCGCGGAACCTGGACGCGCTGGTCGCCGCCGCACCCGCCCGCACAAAACAAGGGGGATGCGCGGCACTTAAAGGGGAGGGGGATCGCGGCGTGTGGGAGGGGCTATGGTTCTATGGAGTTTAGGAAGGAACACGCAGGCTTCCGAGGCGAGCACATTTCGTAGAGTCAATGCAAACACTTCAGTCGATGTTTCGGGGCATCCAACCCGTTAGGAAGAGAAAAATATCGCCCGAAGGGACCTTCCACCGAAAACCTCCCCGAAGTACCCAGAGCGTGCCCTGGCCCAGACAGGTGCAGACCGTTTCGCGCGGCCACGCCTGCGCCTCTACAGTTCAACTCTGCCCGCTTCAAAGCCGAAAGACTTAGGTCGTGAGTGCAAGGGGGAGCCTGTCTAAAAAGAATCGCGGTGCAAAAGCCCGGAATCCCGAGGCGGCCTGCCCGCTTCCAAAGAATGAGGGTCCCACGCACCCCACTCCCAGCGGCGCGGGCCACCGGCGCCCAATCAGCGCTCTCGCCGGTCTGTGACGGCTTCGCCCCGCCCCCTGGGCGGAGATAAAAGGCCTCTGCGCAGCCGGCGGTGCTGAGATTGGCGTGCGGCCCGCGCCTGGAGCGCCCGGGAGCCCAGGTGCGCTTCCTTGCTGGCTGCTCGCCGCACGGGTCTCACTGTCTCCTCCGCCAGCCGCCGCCAGGTCCTCACCCGCCTCAGTCCCAGAGCAGTGCCACCCCTAGGCGTCTCCCCCTTTCCTTTTTCCTCTCCCTTCCTCCCAGGCCGTCGCTGTCGCCTCCCCCCGCGGCATTGGTCCGCCGGCCGCAGGTGAGTTGCAGCGCAGCGCCCCAGTCTGGCCAGCTCACCTTGCCTGAGCGGCGGCAGCCCCCCAAGACTCTCGTTTCCCTGCAGGATGAAGAACCCAATGCTCGAGGTGGCGTCCCTGCTGCTGGAGAAATTGCTCCTCATCTCCAACTTCAAGCTCTTCAGTTCAGGCGCCCCGGGCGAAGACAAGGCAAGGAGCAGTTTCCATGACATCAACTCCTTCCACCGCGGCGACGTCCTGGAGGTGCCCCGGACCCACCTGACCCATTATGGCATCTACCTGGGCGACAACCATGTCGCCCACATGATGCCCGACATCCTATTGGCTCTGACCAAGGACAGGAGGCTCACGCAGAAGGTGGTCTCCAACCAGCGTCTCATCCTGGGCGTTATTGGCAGGGTGGCCAGCATCCGCGTGGACACTGTGGATGACTTCGCCTACGGAGCCGAAATCCTGGTCAATCGCCTGGATAAGTCCCTCAAGAAGAAGGCGCTGCTCAACGAAGAGGTGGCTCAGAGAGCGGAGAAGATGCTGGGCACCACCCCCTACAGCCTGCTGTGGAACAACTGCGAGCACTTTGTGACTTACTGCAGATTCGGCACCGCGGTCAGCCCCCAGGCAGACAAGGTACCACTTGTGACTGACTCACCCGTGGGCTGGGCGGGGCCGCCCCCACTCCCATCCCTAACCGTGTGTCTCCCCTGGGATCAGGCATTGAGTTTAGATGAACAAAGGCTCTGGTGTTCCTAAGGGAGACAATGTAAGTAAATGGCCATGTGTCTTGCAGGACCTCTCAAAAGGCGCAGTGGAGTTTGGCAGTGCAGCACCGCTGCCCACTACGAGAGAGCCGCCCGGCTATTGCTACAGAAGTCATCAGGGTGTCCACCCAGCGTAGTTGAAATGACAAAGTCCGCCGTGTGCTCGCAACTTTTCCCAAGAATTTCAATTGGCAGGAAGGTGTCCAGAGTTTATATTTAATCCGTAACACTGTGTTCAAAGTGTTGTGCATTTAAACTAAGGAGGCTTGCAGCATTCTCCCTCTGTAAGCTGCGCAGAATGAATTCCCCTTGCTCACTATCAACTAACAAAATTCCCAGTAAGAAGACCTCCCTGGGTCTTTTCCAGGGTACTTTGAAATTTTCGTGTTGGCTTTAATCCCTATCTAGACTCCCTTATTGTTAAGCATCCTTTACCCATTAGTCCCAAAGGTGGGTTAGGTTTATGGATTCCCTAGAGATCAAAACACTTGGTTTTCTAGAAGAGCCATTGGCTGTTGGAAGATAATATTAATGTGTGAAGTAAAACAAACAAAAAAAAACAATATCAGAATTTAAGATGGTTAAATTAGCCACAAATCCAAAGGGGGGGGGGGATGAATTTTTAGCTCCTTTGCCCAAATCTTAAATTTTAAAAATAGCTAACATTAAAAAAAAAAATGCCTGCAACTTCATTTGCAATTAAAAGCTCTCTCAGCCTGCCCCGAAGTTGTTAAAGTTCAATCTTAACAATAGAAGCCTAGGTAATCGCAAAATGACCTTCATGGTTGACTCTTCTTCACATTTATGTATTTTTTGGACCAAAAGAATCTGAGTCTATGTAACCAATATTTTTATTGCTCCATATTTTGATTAATTTTTGACCCATGTGGGAAAATCTTTCCTCTGTGGCAGAACATGAAAATATTATGCTTTTATATATATATGGGTGCATCAAACTCCTTGTGATTATTTATAGAGCCACAAAGACTCAATCTAGGAATGCTTTTGTAGGAATGCGTTTTTAAAGAATCACAGCTCTAGGCTTGTTTAGAAATGAACTTCACCACATTTACAAACATGGGCTCCAAAGTACACAGAAGAAAACACATCAGATTTACTTAGGAACCAAGCAAATTATTTCTCCAAGGAAAACAGTATTTCTATCCAGTAATACTTTGATGGGACACATATAACTCTGTATTATATATTTCTACAAAAAAACAACAACAAACAGTGTAAGTACTTTTTTAAAGTAGTAAAATATTTAATCTGCATACATAAGTAGTTGGAGAAGTTTTTCATCTTTGGAAACTTTGTCGGGTTTTATAGAAGTAGAGAAGGGTTTTAACTGCTGTTGCTGCATAGCACCTCTTGTGAAACTTGAGTTTTTGTCTTCACTGTGAATGGTCTAACAATCTGGCCACAGAATAGACTTCCCAGGGGGAAAAAATCCCATCCCAATTTTTCCAGTTCTCAGAACTGCCTGTGGACATGCTCTGTGAGAATTAGGTCATTAATGCTGAAGGAGGACTGATTTCTACTTTCCAGAAACAATGAGGAATTATTTGGTTCTGAATGTCATTTTTGAATTCTATTATATATATATATATATATTACCAGGTTAACATGAGAATTGCAAAGTTGTCTCTTAATTTTGAGTTAGAAATTTAAAAGTTATTATATCACCAAATTTTAGAATGGTTCATTGAATGAATTGAATTCACCAATAATAATGGACAACTTATTTATTTGAGATTAGAGATCTCTTTGCTTATCTAATTTTAGAATATATTGTTATTGATAAACAGTTTAATGCTTTTAACATTTAATCCTGAACTTTTATGGGGTTACATTCTCTGTAGTTTTCTATAAAAGTTCTGTATTTATATAGGCAGCTGCCATTGGTAACCTATTTGCCAGAGGTGTTATTTCAGCGGGCTGTTACAGGATGTGGAATCAAGGAACTGAACTCTTAACATCTAAATTCTTTCATAAGTCATAAGAGAAATTCTAGTTTTTCTGGTAGACAGAAAATATCCTGGGAAATTGTGCTTTATTATTTTGTATATATGATTCTTCTTAGGCTTAGCCACCTTTTCTGACATTCTTAAATTTTATTTTCTAGTTTTGTGAGAATTTGAAGATAATTATTCGTGATCAGAGAAGTGTTCTTGCTTCGGCACTCTTGGGATTGGCGGCTATAATCTGCCTGGGCATGGCATCATATACTACTCTTCCTGCTATTTTTATTCCATTCTGCTTATGGATGGCTGGCTGACTTCACATCCTCATGTCAGTGTGTGTATTTTGTGTGTAAATATGTTTATATTTATGGAGCACAAATCAGTATAAGCATCGTCGAGAAAAATGTGACCTGAAACATTGTGTTCTGGATAAAAATGTGATTAAGAATCACACAAAGTGCTTACTGTGTAAGCCCAAGAACAAGGCTTTCTGAATCTTCCTCAGGCAGTTACATTTTAAAGCTCTGTGCAAATCTTGGAAACCTGACAACTGTGATAGACTTCATCATTACAAGAAAACCAGCCTCTAAGATGATGGCCACAGGAGATATTTTTTCTCTCTCTCCTGTAATCACTTCTCTTCTCCATTAGGCCAGAATCTGAAGATCAGAAGACTTATTGTAAACTTGATTGTAAATTTATTCATTGAAAAACTTATATTAAACTGAAAGAATTTCCCTTGTTCAGATGAAAACCTGTTTGATGATTGGCCTAAAAAGAAATTCTCAATCTTTTTTTTATGTATTATAATTCCCGATAAGTCAAGAATATTTCATTACTTGAAACCATATTAGCAAAATTAAGGTTTACTGATAAAATAACTGACCAGAACTATAGAATCTGTGTTTTCCTGCAGAAATTGCTACTATAGCATCAGTTGAACAATTTGATGTAGCTTTACTTAATAGGAAGCCTAGCATTCCCCCTCCCCCACCCCTTTTACGTGTCACTGTGATTACTTTAAAGGACTCTAAGAGGTAAATGGATATAGGATTGCAATAATTTGGATACTTGTAATGCATATGTACCAATTAAATATGCGGATATCCACATACACTCAAACTGATGAGAAATTAGGTTTGTTCTTGACTGCTTTATTATCATACCAGTGTGGTTACTATAGAGCATTTGTAGAGATGAATGTTACAACAGATTTAGTCCATTTTCTTATGCCTTTGCCTGTGGTGTAACTTGCATATATGACTGGATGGTTTAGCTTTTAGAGCACTTACTAATGTACTGTATAATTTTTAAAAGCCCTCAGATTTGTTTTCTAGTCCATTTTTTCCCATTTCATTGGCAAGTATAGCTCACATCCTTAAAAGAAGAATGCCATAGCAGCATATAAGCCCCAAACAAGTAGGACCCAAGGAAATAACTGTTAGGGATAATTTGTGTCTTAGTACTTCCAGGCATGTAAATTGATTATACCAAGGCTGTTTTAATAGTTGAGTTGCAATGTAGTGGTGTTAAAGCAAGCATTCAAGTACTTTAACCAAAATTAACAAATTCTACAATTAAGCCAAAAGCTAGACTTGTATTTCAAGTATTAAAGTTACTTTACAAACTACCAAGAATCACAAAATAAGTCACATAATGAGTGGTATGAGGAGGTGGGATCAGTCACTCAATAATCCAACCAGAACAAATTTCAGAGCAGATTTTAGCAACTGATATTTTATCACCACTAAATGTACCCACAATAAATTCAGTGGGAGTTTAATTTTGTGTTTAATCATTTAAATATTTTAAATAATTAAAACATGAAATGGTAATATCACATAATAAAGTTGTTCCATGGGCCTGTTCTGACTACTTAAAAAGTTACTGTAAGTACGTATGCATAAGAGCAACCACCAGCCCTGGCTGGTGTGGCACAAGTTGGTTGGGAGTCGGCCCTTGCTGGCTGCCCTGGTTGTGGTCTCGATCCTCAGTGCAGGCATGCGAGAGGCAGCTGACTTATGTCGGTTGATGTTGCGCTCTAGCATCAGTGTTTCCCTTCCTCTCTCTAAAAATCAACAAACTATTCTTTAAAAAAAAAAAAAAAAAAGCAACTACGATGAGAAATCCATTGTATTAGTGTTTTTTCACTTACTGTATATTACCCCTGTAGCAATTGTTTAAAGTCACTTTTTTAAAATATGGTGTCCTCATAAGTAATTGATACCGTTTTGCAGATTTTAGTATTATAAGTCACAAAAGCCACTGTCTGATGTTAAATCTGTGTTCAAAGATAACAATCCCTGATTAAATGCCAAGGGAAGCACTTAAGATTGGGATTAACATAATTAGTCTGGACTCACTTCATATCCTTACAGCAAGATTCAATTCATCGTTCACTTAAGTGCTCACTATATGCCAGGGATTGACCTGTTTCAATTTCATGGTCTAGATTTAATCATTCTAACTAACCATATTGAAGTGTATACAGTGCTATGGGAACACAGGGGAAGAAGACATTAAATTGTCAGATAAATCTCTTTGAAGGAGGCAGTGCTAACATTAAGGTGAGAAATAGTAAGAGGTGATCTTATCACACTGATGTGTTGTTTCACTACTTAGGGGAAGAGGGATCTGGAAGGAGGTTTTATTTACTTTGTTGAACTTAGGAGAAAAGGAGAGTTTTTATTTAGTTGGCTCAGCTTGATTAGTTGCTTAACTAGGTAGAAAAAGATGCAAATATCCCTGAGTGTGGTTATGGAAAAAATCCTGCACTATTAATGTGTCTTGTAACGAATTTCACGATGGCATCATCAGTTAAGATTGATCCTTGTGATCCTGCCATATGTGAGCTCATATATTTCTAAACTTCTCACTTGTGAAATGGTAATCAAGTAGTATCTAATGCAGCTTCTTATTGCTCATTTTGTTCTTTGCCATATCCAGATGAAGGCCAAATAGGACTACTGGGACTAAGATGAAATAATGCATGAGTTGATACTGTGCAGGTATTAGGGATAAAAAGGTCAATGAGACTGGAAATGTCTTAAAGTTTGGCCTTAAAGTTTATGGCCAAATGGGTATAGATGACACAATAGAGCTGATTGAAGGCATAGAAAAAGAAGTGGTTATAGTTTTAACTATAAGGCCAAAATTATAGGGACTGTGTATTGAGATGAAAAACAGCTGTTTTTCAAGAGATAGATTTGGGCAGAACATTTTACACAAGAGCAAATGCATGAAAACTGTCCACAACATGCCTGGCACATAAATGTGAGGTACTCTACTCTTATTTTAAGTATGTATGCATAAAAGTTCTGAAAGCATGAAACTGCATGGCGCATTTGGGCAAACGCAAGTGGTTCAGAGGCTAGAGCAGAGCAAGGCTGATGCGAGATGTGGGAAAGAAAAAAAGTAATCAGGTGGTACAAGTCTTGTGTGTTGACCGAAAAATGTGGACTTTATGAAGAGGCAATGGAGATTTGGGGTCCAGAAAAGTAACTCCCAAAAGTATGAAGGAAAGATGGGAACATGAGCCAAGACAGGACAAGAGCATCTATTAGGATACTAGCGATGGTCCTAAATCTTTCAAATAAAGGCCTGTAATTGTGAGGGTGGAGAGCAAACATGTCAGGAAAGTGTCAACAGACTTCAGCCAAATCCTTGTATTTGAATAACTCTTGGTGGGGTGTCAGGGAGGAGTTTTGTGTCATTTCCATCGGAAAGTTGGTTCCTGAAAAATAAATATGGTGGCTGTGTGTATACTGGATATTCCAGATATTTGTTCTGCTAGATATAGTTCTAAGGACAAGCAAATATATAAGGATTTGTCATTTAAAAAATTAGCTTTTCAGAATATGGATATATTTCTTATTTTTCCATTTTCTATTTCATACTACTACTGTCAAATAGAAAAAAATGTTTTCCTGCAATATCACATACCAAAGGCAAACTCTTGTTATAGGTGAGAAGCATATAAGAAATGATAGTTGCCAATTTTCTGTTTTATATGCTCTATTGAGAAAGTTTTACCCAGCCTAAACCTATCAGTTCAACTGGTTTTATATTTGGTATATATACATGTATGTTAAATCAATTTTACATACTGTCCTCTATATTTGAAATTAAAACTTTACATGGATCTGCTTTCAGACTGATAATGGCCTATGTTACCTACATCTTGAAGCCTACCTTGATTATGCACAAAGTGTCCTATACAACATTTTATGAAAAACCTCTTCTCCATTCCACAAAATTAAGCAACAAGGAACAATAGAGCCCTGGACATGGATCTTCTGGCCAGATGTGAAATGCCGCCAAGGCAGCCTGTTGCTTTGCCCTGGCCATGAGTGAGGTAGAGATGAGGTATGAATAGAAGCAAGTCCAGGGCCAGACTTGATGGGCACTAACAGCATTGCAAAGGAACACAGAAGTTACTGGGCTGAACCCTTAAACACCTAACTACATTTCAGATGTGAAAAATTAGACACAGAGGTTGAGATGTTTTGTGATTATGCAAATAATCAGAGCCAGAGCCAGAACTTAACCCCACCTTTCTTTCCATCACTCAACATTGGCTCCCTGAGGTCTCCCACCAATTGGACAAAGTTTCCTACAGTGAATGTATTAATTTCTTGCAGATCTTCTATGTACTCCAAGCAGGACCGCACAAGAATGAACTACTTAGAATCTTAGTCCTTTGGTTGCTTAGTATAATGAGAAAAAAAATGGCAAGTAAATAGATTTCAAAACAATGAAAGGTCACATATTAGGTCAATGTACATTCAGATTAGGAGGCATCCTTGGGCCAATCAATTGTGGCTAACTTGCACAAGGACATGCAAGGCATGGTGAGGTACTCTAAAGAGCTCCTTCATCTGATTTTCCTTTGAAAATGGCTATCAGTGTTAGCTTAAATGGCAGATAAATATCTGATTATCACCTTAGCTCATTCTGCAACAATGTAGAGAATGAACTAGGTGAGATATAAGCTACAAGGACATAAGTTCTATTACCAAAATATAAGAGAAAAATGAGGACTAGATGTAATTCAATGGCAGGGGGAATGGAGAGGAGAGGTGAGAAAGAGGGAGGCTGTTTCATAGAGTCTGGCAGGGTGTATGTACGTTAATGCCTTAGTTTTTCCTTTCCTCTCACCCTCCAATACGTGAGGGCTTCACACTGGCCAACTGAGCCAGAAACCAGTTGACAGGAGAGCCTGGGAAGTAGCCTTCTCGGAAAGGCAGAACCGTACCTCAGGGAGAATAGGCCAAGACGTGGCACCAGGATAAGTGTGCTGACGGTACTGAGTAATACTGGTGAACTTAGGGGAGTGGGCCGTGGGAGATGTAGGATGAACCTGGTTTGGGATTTATAAAGTTTGAGTAGCCTAGGGTCCCACAGGTAGAAATACAGAGTAGACACTTGGAGTCTCACTCCTAAGACAGAGCTCAGAGAGGGGAATATATTTGGGAATTATAACAGTGGTGGTTGAAGCCAAGGATATGAATTAGAGCATCTTTGAGAGGTCTATGAAGATTAGTTTTTAAATATAAAGATGGAAAACTAAGGTCACAAAAGGGAGGAAGAAAGACCAAGAACAGTTTCAGAAAAAGAATGAAGAATAATAGTACAAAAGTTTAAAGCAGACACTGTGAGAAAGCCAAGGAGTGAGTTTTGAAGGTAAGAGTACAAATAATATCAAGATATAGAAGAGATAAGAACTGAATAATTTTTCTATTGGATTTGACAAATAAAAAGACTGCCAGTGACCTTGATTAATAAGCACCCACTAATACTAAATAGGAGATGTTAAAAAGTTGGGAGAAGAAGGCAAATTGTGGGTTGAGATGTAAATGAGTGTGGGCCCCTTTTTACAAAGTTTGGTGGGGAAAAGAAAACACAAAAGACTCAGAAAACAGAGTATTTATCTAACATCTCTGTTTTCACTTCAGCATTCTTTAGAATGGACCGTACTGTCAACTGTTTTATGCCTCATTTTAAGAAGCATAAATCATAATTTAATTTTCACAGTTCTTTTCTGAGGAAAAAACACTGTGATATCAGAACTGCACTTTCAAAAAAGTGACTCCTTTCAGAGGGTCATCAAATCAATGACCGATTCAATTCCCATTTCTGTTGGCTTCTTTAAAAAGAACACTTATTCAGATGGAAATTCGAATAGGTCCAGGGGAAGTGAGAAGGGGTAGAAAATAAGAAACAACTCTACTGCATAGGCTCTAGAGCAGCGGTTCTCAACCTGTGGGTCGCGACCCCATTGGCGGTTGAAGGACCCTTTCACAGGGGTCGCCTAAGACCATCCTGCATATCAGGTATTTACATTACGATTCATAACAGTAGCAACATTACAGTTATGAAGTAGCAACGAAAATAATTTTATGGTTGGGTCACAACATGAGGAACTGTATTTAAAGGGCCAGAAGGTTGAGAACCACTGCCTAGACAGGGGTGGGCAAACTTTTTGATTTGAGGGCCACAATGGGTTCTTAAACTGGACCAGAGGGCCGGAACAAAAGCATGGATGGAGTGTTTGTGTGAACTAATATAAATTCAAAGTAAACATCATTACATAAAAGGGTATGGTCTTTTTTTTTTTTTTAGTTTTATTCATTTCAAATGGGCCGGATCTGGCCCGCGGGCCGTAGTTTGCCCACGGCTGGCCTAGAGTCTTGGGCTCTTATTCAAACAACCTGTTGAGAAATGACCATTTCTTCCCTTCATAGAATGATGGAGTGGAGAGATCAAGACACAATGCAAGACTCAGATTCAAATGCT